GTGAAATAAGTCAATCACAAAAGGACAAATATTGTATGAGACCTCTACCGTAAAAACTCATGTAAAAGTTTATACACAAAAAGAAACAATCTTTGTTGGTTAGGAGGAATGGGGCGGGGGGGGTACTAAATAGACAATAGGTAAGTGGTAAACTTGGTGAAGGGTAATACAGTACACTATACTGGGGAAGCCAGCACAACGTGTACAAGGAAAGGTCATGGAAACTCCATAGACACATGCAAAATCCTTTGGGGATTGAATTGCTGGGCTGAAGGCTGTGGGGACCATGGTCTTATGGAACATCTAGCTCAACTGGCATATCACATTTTATAAAGACAATGTTCTACATTTTACCTTGGTGAGTAGAATCTGGGGTCTTAAAAGCCTGTGAGCAGCCATCTAAGATACTCCACTGATCTCACCCCTTTGGGAGCAAGGGAGAATGAAGAGAAGAAGATACAAGGGAAAGGTTAGTCCAAAGGACTAATGTACCATGACTACCACGGCCTCCACCAGACTGAGTCCAATACAGCTAGATGGTGCCCAGCTACCACCACTGCTCTGACCAGGATCACAAGAGAGGGTCCTGGACAGAGCTGGAGAAGCAGGTAGAACAAAATTCTAACTCAGATAAAAAGACCAGATTTACTGGTCTGACAGAGACCAGAGAAACCCTGAGAGTATGGCCCCCAGACACCCTTTTCGCTCAGTGGTGAAGTCACTTCTGAGGTTCGCCGTTCAGCTGGGGATTGGACAGCCCCATAAAAGAAAACAGGACTAATGAGGCACAGCAGTCCAGGGACAAGGACTCGCAGGCAGGAGAGGACAAGAAAGCTGGTGATAGTGAACCCAAGGTTGAAAAGGGACAGTGTTGACATGTCGTGGGGTTGTTAACCATTGTCATAGGGCAATATGTGTACTGACTGTTTAAAGAGAAAGTATTTGTTCTGTAAACCTTCATCTAAGGTACAAAAAAAAAAAAAAAAGAATTTTCTATGTGAGATCAAATTGACAACAGCAACTCAAAAGGATTGATGGGAAGCCTAGGGGACAGTGAGTTGAAGATAATGGTGACGGAATAATTTGGAAAAGCATAGTGAGAATAGCAGCGCAACTGGAAGAATGTAATTGATGTCACTGAATTGTACATGTAGAAACTTTTGAAATGGTGTAACTTTGGCTATGTATATTTTCACGAAAAAAAAAAAGGTCCTCCGAGGTCAAGAAGGGAGAGTGTTGCCATGTCCTGGGGTTGTTAACCAATGTCATAAAACAATATCTGTACTGACTGTTTAATGAGAAACTATTCTGTAAACCTTCATCTAAAGTACAATAAAAATTTTTTTTTAAAAAAGATATCAAAGAATGTATTGCATTGGCAAATCTGCTGCAAAAGATATCTTTCAAGTGTTAAAAAGCAAAGATGTCAGTTTGAGGACTAAGGTGTGCTTAACCCAAGCCATGGTATTTTCCATCACCTTATATGCGTACAAAAGCTGGACAATAAGTAAGGAAGAGTGTAGAAGAGTTGATGTCTTTGAATTATGGTGCTGACGAAGAATACTGAATATACCATGGACTGTCAGAAGAATAAACAAATCTGTCTTGGAAGAAGTACAGTAAGAATGCTCTTTAGAAGCAAGGATGGCAAGACTTCGTCTCACATACTTTGGACGTGTTATCAGGAGGGACCAGTCCCTGGAGGACATCATGCTTGCTAGTGGGTCAGTGAAAAAGAGGAATACCCTCAAGGAGACGGACTGATACAGTGGCTGCAACAATGGGCTCAAGCATAGCGAGGATTGAGAATGGCGCAGGACTGGGCAGTGTTTCTTTCTGTTGTACACAGTTGCTGTCAGAACTGACTGGATGGCACCGAACAACTAAAGACAGGCCACCTAAATTGTGAGAAAATAAAATTGTTTGTTAAAGCTACCCATTCATGATATTTCTGTTATAGCAGCACTGGATAACTAGGACAAAGTCTTACTTCATTATTATAGACAAGAATCTGAGGTTCAGAGGTCAGTAGAACAAGTAACTGATTCCTAAGTATGTACTAGCCTTCATGGAACTGGCTACACAACGGTGTTACAAGGAGGAAAATGATGTACTGCGATAGAGGTACAGAGAGTAACGTTAGCCTCCGCGTGGTCTGATTCAGGAAGGCTCTGCGGAAAGGCTCAGAAGACAGACCCTTTCTCCTCATCTTTACTCCCGTTTCTGACACCATGGCCCAGGCTTACAGCCAGGAGAAAAGAAAGTACACAGAGCCTCGAAACGCTGTCCCTTCTCTCATGGCTTTTCTGGCCGCTCAGATGCAAACAATTTATGGGATGATTTCCAACAGGGGCAAATTTACAGGTCCGGAAAAACACAAAGACAATGACCAATCGTCACCTGCAGCCACGTCCTCCCCACGCCCTTTCGGGTGCAGTTAAGGGAAGGGTTCGCGCCAGCGTTTACGCCATTTCCGCTTCTTTCCCGCGGGGGGGTGGGGTTTGTGTGACGTTAACATTTCCGGGTCGCCCAGGCCGCCTGGGGCGGTGCTGGCGTTGGTACTCGCTGGTGTCCAGTCTATGGAGCTAGTTGGTGCCGGTGGCGGCGCGGAGGCAGGAGGGGTTTTCCGAGTAGTGGCCTTCGCTCCGCCAGGATGTTACCAGGCTTGGCCGCCGCCACTGCGGCCCACAGATGCAGCTGGTCCTCCTGGTGCCGGCTCCGTCTGCGCTGCAGGGCGGCGGCCCGCGGCTCCGGCTACCAACAGGGTGAGTTTCCCTCGCCGGCCGCGACTCTGCGAAGCCCAGCTGGAGGGCCAGGCCGGGCTCGGTGCCTCGCCTTGGGGCAGTTCGCCAGCTTTCCCTTCCTCAACCCTGGAACCTTCCTCGCGGGCGTTCGCCGTTGTAATTCATCCTGCCCAGTCGAGGGACTCTTTGACTGGCACCTTTTAACTCCTGTCCCGCCTACGGTCCTAACACGGCCCCCCGGGAACACGCGGGCTGTTGCTGGCCGGGTTGGACCTAAGAAGCATAAGACTTTGTAACACAAAACGTTACGTGTGGATCGTGGTGTCCCGCGGTGACTCACATAGCCAGTGGGAGATTGCGGACTTACAGAGTTCCAGGGTCTTTTGAGTTCTCTGACTCACCTGCATTGAACACTTTTGGCCGAGTGGAGTTTCTTGCCTTGCTCCTTTTCTCATACTCCCAACTTGTTAAATTCCTTAAAAGGGGGACCCCCCCCCAAAAAAAAACCGTTGCTGTCGAGTCAGTTAAAGGGGGGTGCAACTCAACATTCACGGATCATTTTTACGAAGCATGAGGCTATGCCTATCCCACGATCATTGAATGAGCCCGGTTTTGGACCAAAATAGAAAAGAGGACTCTTCAGTTCTGTTGCACAACCTTTAAAACCTGGCGAAAAGGAGTTATAACCTTTTTCCACCAGAAAAAGGTGGTTGACGAGGATTTTCATCCTCCTCCCTTAAAATTCTTTTCTGAATCAAATTTAAATTGTCCAAGAGTTTCCAAAATAACATTGATCTTCTAAGTTGTAATCAGGCTTTATCTGTTTTTGCACTCAGAAGCACAAGGCTGCCATATCCTGACACTGAGAACTGATGGGAACAATGAGAAAGGAGACAGAACCAAATCCACCCCTACTCTTCAGAATACAAAGAATATTTACAGAAACTCTCCCTCAAAAATCATGTGTAAAGAAACTTGTAGCATGTTTATGAAATCTCAGTAGAAGTTCCAGTCATTCAAGTTTATAAGTAATTTTAAGCCGTAGTAATTTATAAGTTGTGTGAATCAATTAGAATATATTCCTATCATTTATTTGTGGAAGAAAGCCCTGGTGATCTACTGCAAAAAGATCATAGCCATTGAAAACCCTCTGGAGCACAGTTCTACTCTGGAACACATGGGGTGGCCTTGATTTGGAATTGACTCGGCAACTGGTTCAGCTCAGTTCTTTGGTCTTTTTGGTAGTGATAGAAAAGTATAACTGTTTTCACTTTTTTCACATTGGCAATATACCTGGTTCCCTTAAGAATAAAATGAATCATTAGGGTATACTATGCTCCAAAATCCCCAAGTGTTTATTTAGCATAATTGCTTGTATTGACCAAGCAGGTTTTTTGTTTTGTTTTGTTTTTATTTTTGGTGAAAATCAGAACAAATCATGCACCCACTCAACAATTTCTTTGTGTACAGTTCATTGACATTGATTACATTCTTCACTATGTGTCAACAATCTCACTAATTGTACTCAAATTGTTTCAGCGCCTTTAACTTAGACTCACTGCTCCCCTGGTCTTCTCATCTGTGCTGTAGATATACTGTTGTCAATTTGGTCTTGTATATATAACCTTTTTAAGGGAGTGCAACACTCAAAGCATATGCTCCTTACTAATTGAGTGGAACTGTTTGGTCTAAAGATGACTACAGGGCATAGTTTTGGTTAAAGATTTAAAGACCATCTCAGGGCAGTAGCTTCGTGAGCTCCTCCCGTCTCAGTGGGTCTCGTAACTCTGGGATCTTTAAGAGTTTGCAGTTGGGTTCCACATTTTTCTCGCTTTTGATCAGGATGTATCTATTGTTTGACCAAGCAGTTTTGGCATTGTGTGCTTAAATGTACCAAAACTGACCCCAGACCCATTGCTGTGAGTCGATTCTGACTCAGCGACCTTATAGGACAAAGTAGAGCTGTGCCATAGGATTTCCACGGCTGTAAATATTTACGGAAACAGACTGCTACATCTTTTCTCTTGTGGAGTCGCTGGTGGGTTCAAAAGGCCAACCTTTCGGTTAGCAGCCTAGCGCTTAACCACTCTGTCAGCAGGCCCCTTCCACTTAAATGTAGTGGATGTTAAATTTGGTTTAAGCTGTGCTTTAAGCATGGGTCTGAATGGACTCAATGACAGTGGGTTTGGTAACCTCTATAGGTGTCATCTTGTTGAAAATTATCTTTGTCTGATCCATCTGTGAAATAGACAGGTAATAATTACCTATCTTGAGAGTCAGAATGACTTTGCAAAGTTCTTTGGAATATTTATTACTAGGAAAAAATAAAAATGTGTTTTCACACTTAAAACCTCTTAGTAGGTTTAAAAATAATCTTGTTTGTGAGCATTTAGTTTTAATAATACTGAACCATTTTTTTAAAGGACAGTCATAATTATGATAAACTATAAAAACTTAGAAAAAGAATACTGTTTAAGTTGGATGCATGTGAGGAAAAAAGAATATTTGAAGAACTTTTGGGGAAAAAAAATCCAGAAACATGTTTTTCTTTGTCAAGAAATATAGTTTATGCTTTTAAAATGCCTGTGTAGTAGGTAAAGCTTATGAAGAGTAAAGACAGGCAGAAACCTTGAGGGGAATGATTGCTTAATTTGAATAGTTGAGAATGAGAAACTTTCCTGTATGCTAAACTCACATTGAAAGCATTTAAAGCAAAAAGGCAAACAATATTCTAGAGCAGTGCTGTCCAAAAGAAATATGTGAGCCACATATGTAATTTTGAGTTTTCTAGAAGCCTTATTTAAAAAGTAGAAAGAAACAGGTGAAATTAATTTTAATAATGTATTTTACCCAGTATATTAAAAATATTTCAGTATATATTATAAAAATTTGTGAGATGTTTTACATTCTTATTTTGTAATAAGTCTTCGAAATCCATAGTGTGTTTTACACTTATAGAACATCTCAGTTCAGAGTAGTCAAATGTAAATGCTCAATAGACTGTGGCTACTGCATTCAGCAGTGCAGTTACAGAATTAATGTCCTTAATTTATAAAGAATTCTTATAAACCACATGTATTCCAGTAGAAAAATGGGCAAAGGCAATGAATAGGAGTTCATAAAGGAGTACAAGTGGCCAATAAAAGTGCAAAAATGTTCCGAACTCATTAATAAGCATAGACAAGTAAATTTAAAGGATTTACAACTCATTGCCTGTCACACTGACTGAGTTTTTCATAAAGAAGATAATGCCATTTGGAGGGTGCATGAAAGAAAGCAGGACTCTTACTGCTGGTTGGGAATATATAGTTTTTTTGGAAATCAGTTATTCTTTGTATAACAATAATTTTAAAAGGTATATGCCCTTTGACTCAATAATTCCACTGAAAGGAATTTACCTTAAAGAAATAATCACAAGATTGATATTCATAGTAATAAAAAGTTGGTAACTTAATTATAGTTATGAAAAGTTGGATATAAAAATAGATTATGATACATTTATTATGGGGTGGTGGTATATGCAACTATTTTGAAATGTATTTTAGAAGAATTGTGCATAGGAAAATGTTCTTTTAGGGTTTTTTTTTTTTTTTTAGTTTTAGGTAAAACTATAGGAAAAAAATACAGTTCAGAATATATACCATGATATTAATAGTGTGTTTTCTTATTAACTTTTTTCGAATGCTATATGATAAACATAGGTTTAAATAATAAAGATTACTTAGTTTCTATAGTGTTTCCTTTTTTTTAAAATTTTTTTTTATTGTACTTTAGATGAAGGTTTACAGAACAAATAGTTTCTTCATAAACAGTACAGATATTGTTTTATGACATTGATTAAGAACCTCATGACGTGTCAACACTCCCTTCTTGACCTTGAGGACTTTTTTTTTGGTGAAAATATACATAGCCAGAGCTACACCATTTGGAAAGTTTCTGTATGCACAATGCAGTGACATGGATTACATTCTTCCAAATTATTCCATCACCATTATCTTCAACTCACTGTTCCCTAGGCTTCCCATCAAACCTTTTGAGTTGCTGTTGTCAATTTGATCTCACATAGATAATTCTTTTTTTTTGGTACCTTAGATGAAGGTGTGCAGAACAATTAGTTTGTCATTAAACAGTACACATATTGCCCTATGACAATGGTTAACAACCCCATGACATGTCAACACTGTCCCTTCTCAACCTTGGGTTCCCTATCACCAGCTTTCCTATCCTGTCCTGCCTTCTAGTCCTTGTCCCTGGACTGCTGTGCCTCATTAGTCCTGTTTTGTTTTATGAGGCTGTCCAATCCCCGGCTGAATGGTGAACTTCGGGAGGAGCTTCATCACTGAGCTGAAAGGGCGTCCGGGGCCATACTCTCGGGATAGTGTTTCCTTTTTTTATTTTATTTTATTTGTTTATTTATTTTCTTTATTGTACTTCAAGTGAAGGTTTACAGAACAAATAGTTTCTCATAAAACAGTAGTACAGATATTGTTTTATGACATTGCTTAACAACCCCATGACATGTCAAGTGTTTCCTTTTTTTAAAAGTTCTTTTGACGTTGTATAGAAAGCTCACTTATTTTTTTCATGAAGTTATACCTTGTCTTATTTCACAAAGAATTTGAGGTGGGAGGACACTTCTTTAAGTATGACATGCCAAATTAACAGATACATGCTTTTGCCTAAATCTGAGATTGAGGAAAGTGTGAATTTTTAAATAAAAAGAAATTATACCTTTGTATTTTATTCCTATCTCTAATCTGGTAGTATTTATTACCATAAGAAAAGTAGAATGAGAATTTAACTTTTGTCCCAAGAACGTAGATTGTTACAAACGACCATTTTGGCAGGCTGACACCCTGATTCTATGTAGATCAAGTTAATGATAGAAATTCTTGTAACTTAACTGTAAAATGAGGCTAACAATAGTACATGCTTCATAGGGTTTTTGTGATGATCATTCAGTAAAGAGGTGCCAGGTGTTGTGATTGCTGGTATAGTGTCAAACAAGACAGACATAGTGC